AGTATGGATTTCTGCTTTTCAAAGTCTTGTGTACATTCACCACGTTTGTCTGAATAGCTTTTATCCAAGGACAGACTGGTTGGCAGCTTTGGGTTTACATCACTGAAAAGTACAACATTTTTGACTCAATACAATGAATATAACAATTTTAAATACAAAAAGGTATGAGTATAAAAAACTAATAATAATTCAGGAAGCCTCTTTATTGTGAACTGCTGGCATTTAAAAAATGTTGCTTTTGCAAATGTGGGCTAAAAAGCGTTTGAATTCTTTGAGTCCCAAGGAACGCATCACGTGCTAATCAGTTACTACCCAGGCGGCTAATCGACGCGTGACCTGTTCAGATTTTTAATTTACACCTGGCCAGTAAAACAACGGCGTCCGTGGCTAAGGCGTTGCGAGTCCGACTCGTAAGCCAGTATACCGCGATCGAAACCCACTGCAGGCTGCATGGATTTTTGTCGTGGTATGGGACGTTGCAGGTCGACCCAGCCTAAAATGGGTACCAGGATGGGCTGTCCTGGGAAAGTAAAGACAGCCGGCGTAATGCTGACCACATTACCCACAGTGCTGATGGTCTGTAAAAATATGGGACGCTCTGCCCATATGCCCGATGCGCCGAAAGGCGTGAAAAGGGATCTTTACTTTACTTTATTTTAGTATAACAACGCAAATCTGCAGTTTTGAATAGTATTTCCTGTTCTTTGTGTTTGATGTTACAAATGTTGACAATTGGGCATATTCCAAAACATGGTTAAAAGGATAAAATATTCAATGTTTGTGAGTTTTACTGAGTTACTAAGTGTCCTCATGAAAACCATATGGCTTCTTCATGCATGCCAACAAAATTTAAGACTCATATTTAAATAAAACACAATTAGACAAAGAAAGTTAGGAAGTAGATTTGTTTCAGTCATTGATAGAGTCAAACTTTGATGAGGGATAGTTCTGATATATACCATACACAAAGCCTACAATGATGACAAAGTCAGCTGGTAAAAGGAGAATAAATATTAATGAAAAAGGCAATATTCTTCAGTGTCAGTTAGGTCTAGTGTGATTCAGTCACTCCTGGTTATTTATCAAGGAGCAATAAATAAAGATCACTAGTGAGATGAGAAACTTGAGAAAAAGAAGTGTTACGGAAGAGATGACTAAACAATACAGAGAAATGGAAGGAGCAAGACTAATGACTGTGTGTGCCTGCATGTGTGTGTGTGTGCGTGCAAATGTGTTTTTGTTGTTTCTTTTTTTACATAAACAAACACACATATAAACAAAATAAACACCAGTAAAACTAAAAGCAATGAAAAATAATTACAAAAAAGAAAATCGAATTATCTTAAATGATGAAACAACAGAGGAAGTTGAATAATTTATATACCTCGGAAGTAAAGTTACTCCAGATGGAGATTATGAAAAGGATGTAACATCAAGATTAAACAAAGCAAAGCAAGAATGTGCCATGTTTAACAATATATGGAAGTCAAAGGGTTTTAGTTCGAAGACAAACATTTGAATAAACAAGAGCAACATTTTGGGAATATTATACAACAGGGAATGTTGGAAAATGACAGCGGGAATTACAAATAAAGTTGAGACTTTTCAAAATAAATGTTTAAGGAGAATTCTACGAATATTTTGGCCAAACAAGATAACAAAATAAGAATTAAGGAGGAAAACCGAATGTGCATCACTGGCAAATGTTATCAAAGTAAGACGATGGAGACAAGTTTGCAGAATGCCTTGTGACACTCTGGCAAAAACAGTTCTCCGGTGGACAGCAGATGGGAAAAGGAGTCGTTGACGACATAAGAAAACCTGGAGAAGGAAAATAAAATAGGAAATGAAGGAATGTAAACTGACATGGGATACCATGGGCAGAAAAGCAGCAGACAGGCAGCAATGGAGATCACTTGTGAATGCCTTATGTGTCAAAAGCGACATAAAGAGGATATAGTAGTAGTATAGGGCACATATATATATATATTTACATATATTGAGACAGACAGAGAATGAGAAAGATGGTTCATCTATGCTTACAACTATAGAAGAACATATTGCATAGCAGTAGGAAGCAGAATCCAGAGGACAAAATTAATACAAAATGGGAATGTTTCAAAACTAGTATAGAAACAGCTAATGCCATATTACCAGTGAAAGAAAACAAGAAAAATCAAGTATGGATGACTGGGGAAATTATTAACAAAATGATACAAAGGAAGAAAGCAAAAAACACTCCAGAATATTCATTAATAGACAAAGAAATACGAAATATGTGTAGAACTGCTAAGGAAATATGGATTCAGTTAAAATGCAAAGAAATAGAGGATCTTGAAATAAAACACAGAACCAAGGAAATACATGCAAATATAAGAAAACTTACAAACAAGGAAAAACATTTAACAGGAAATGGTTGTATTAGGGGGACGGATGGAAAATTACTGTTGATAAGAAATATATAATAAAAAGATGGACTGAATACACAGAAGACCTTTTTTGGGACAACAGAGGTGACAAACCACCAATCCATAATATTCAAGAGGGGCCAAACATATTAAAGTCTGAAGTAGAGAAAGCCATTAAACAGATGAAGCAGGGAAAAGCTGCAGGTCCAGACAACATAACTGCAGAAATGTTACAATCATTATCTACTTTTGGAATTAATACTATCACAGAAATATGAAATGACATTTATAACTATGGGTACATTCCCAGGGACATGAAAACATCTGTTTTTATCACACTACCCAAGAAATCAAAGGCTGTTGATTGTGAAGATTACAGAACTATTAGCCTAATGAGTCACGTAACTAAGTTACTCTTGAAGATAATACAAGCAAGAATTCAAAATAAAATAGAGAAAGAAGTTTCTGAAGAGCAATTTGGATTCCGTAAAAACAGTGGTACTCGGGAGGCCATAATTTGTCTAAAGATGCTGACTGAAAAATATATAGAAGTTCAGAAAAATATTTATGCATGTTTTATAGATTACAAAAAAAGCTTTCGACAGAGTGTACCATGAACAATTAATTGCAGCTCTTCAAAACATAGGACTAGATGGAAAGGATATCAGACTTATTAGAAACTTATACTGGGAGCAAGAAGCAACAGTAAGATATGACAACATCTGCTTACCCCAGATAGAGATCAAGAGAGGAGTAAGACAAGGATGTGTGCTGTCGCCTAGCCTTTTCAACTTATGTACAGAAACCATTTTAAAAGAAATTGCAGAATTACCAGGAATGCACATCAATGGTAGAATAATAAACAATCTGAGATATGTTGACGACACAGTGTTGCTAGCTGAGAGTGAGCAGGAGTTGCAAGACCTAGTTGAGCAAGTAAACAGAAGGAGTGCAGAATTTATTAAATTTGAAAAAGACAAAAACCATGATATTTAGCAAAGAAAATAATCAGCTAACAATGAATATCCCAGTGAATGGGGTGAAATTGAAACAAGTTAAAAATTTCTTATATCTTGGACAAGTAATAACATGTGACGGCAGAAGTGAAACAGAAGTCAAGAAAAGAATAGGGATGGCCAAAAGCATTTTCAACAACATGCAAAAGTTACTGACATCAAGAGAAATAAGCAATACATTAAAAATGAGAATTGTCAAATGTTATGTATTCTCAACCTTACTGTATGGCACAGAGATTGACAATGAACAAACAACTGGAAAATCGTATCAATTCTTTGGAGATGTGGATATACAGAAGATTGGGTCATATTTCATGGAAACAAAAGCTATCAAATACAGAGGTACTGAGGAAATTGGGAATGAAAAGAGAGTTGCTAGGTGAAATAAAAAAAGAGACAAGTGAAATATTTTGGCCACATTAAAAGACATAACAGTATTGTAAAGATCATCCTAGAGGGAAAGGTTCAAGGTAGGCGAGCAAGAGGCAGACAGCGTTACAAGTGGGAGGATAACATCAAGAGATGGACGAACAGCAGTATGAGTGAGTGTACATCGAGGGCAAGAGACAGGGCTTGTTGGAGATCCATTGCAGCCAACCTTCATTGTGGAGACGGCACCTGATTGATTGATTGATTGAGGAAGCAGATGGATCAGCATCATCAGCAATACCTTAAAATGACACCACCTTTCATTAGCCAGCACAATACCTGGTATTAGCACATAATCTGTAACTCCCTACCATGCCTTTGACAAGATCTGAACTAGCACAGCAAACAAAAAGTGTTCTTCTACTGGTTCAACAGTGGACAAACAAGATAAACCTATTCTACAGTAGCTTTTACCTCTTAGGTTTGATGGCATTTAGATCCAGTTATACAATTCTTTCACCAGTTAATGGTGTTGTGATAGATTAGAATCCTATGTCTCTGTAGGCTTCATATTTTTCTATTGTTTAGTGTAAAACTCACTATCTGCAGCTTTCTTACTATCTTCATTTTAATTCATAAGTGGTAATCAGTAAATTGTAAACTTTTAACATTTTTATAGACTCAAAGGTTAGCAAGAATTGTTAATTTTTCAGATGTTGGAAACTTCAAAACAGTTAAAATTAGGAACTGTGTAGTTAACATCTTGTACAAATATACGGATGTGTCTCGGACAGTCACTAAGGAAGAAAATGGGGCTTTTGAGCTGTAACGCTAATGAAAGATTCTCAGAATACTATGGATCAAGAAGAAAAGAAATACTGACGTCCTAAAGTTTACGAACATCAATGAATATTGACTTGTAAACAGCATCGGGTCTCAGAAACTGAAATTTTTTGGCCATATTAAGGGGCAGAGGCCGATCAGCATGAAGATGAGCACAAGATGTAAGCGACACCTTGGGTGCATGAGGCAGAAAAGCTGGCAAGTTTGTTTAAGGCAGACCATGAAGATGTTCTGTCAGGGACCTGCTACATGATGATGATGTAAACATGAAGGTAATCATTCATTACTGATCATTATGTAACTGACAACTAAAACAGAGTACTTACATCTCCTGAAATGCTTTTCTTTTGCTGCTTCGAAATACTTTTACAGTCTCTTCAGGTACATTTTCCTTCTGACAGCAATATAACTTCTTCTTCAGTGGCCTCTACACAAGAATAAAAGAAATTAATATTCTGTTAAACATACTCAGAGAAATTATAATTTCACAAGCATCAACAGAATATTGATGGACATTGAATTTTCTGGATTATGTAGCAAACAGTCATAATTATAATTTTTCTTCAGAAACTTGTTGGATGTTTTACTGTATAGATTATGTAGACACAATAACAATTATCATTACTCTACAGAATCTTGATGGATGTTTGAATGTGTAGTTAAGAAATGCTAAATCATAATTATCATCATATCTCTTGTAGGCAACGTGAAGAACCCAAGTAAGTAGGTTCAATAACACATGTTTTTGTGATACTTGCTATAAGGTATAGTACAGTGATTTGTTCAGATCCAAACTTCCTGCAGCAGCATACCATGATACCTTTTCTTCTTCATTTGACGGTTGTTTTTTCTGGTCTGGATGTAGTTTTGTGCCTGTCAGCAGACACATCCAACTTCTTCAAGACATTTTTTTGACTACATTAGAATTAAAATAATACAACAATAATACTTATGTTTTTAATGTATATTTTTAAATTCAATAGTTCTTTGATTCTTAACTTTACATAAACTTGGAAGATCGTGCTGTAAAATTACACACACACAATCTGGCAATTAAATAACGAGACTGATTTTATATAGCCAAGGCAAAATCGTCACCCTCAAAGCAAAGCATGCCATACTTTTCGTTCAGTTTTATATCTTTTCCTGCCATCTAAATAGACACCATTCATATATGATTTGGCCTTACTGTAATACTTTTCAGTCAGCAGACAAGTAACCCACCATTTTGTATAGCTAGTGAGAATTACTATGCAGCATAGGGCAAACCGTTATTTATGTTTTAAATGGACAAAGTGTCATTGAAACCACATGAACTGATGAGACAAGTTTAGGGGGAACATAATATTATATTGATCTTGTCCACACACAATCTGGTGGTTTCTGCAATTCAAACATTTTGTGCAAATGATTAAAGATTAAGCTAGGCCTAGATGTTAAATTTATGTTTGTAATTATGAACTCACTGCCAAAGTCAGAGCATTATTCCTCATAGGCATGTCTTATCAATTCCACTGTCTCAAAAACACCTTTCAGAGTTTAACATATATTTCTTCTTCTTCTTCTTCGCTCATCCAAACAAGTAAATGTGTTGTGTCAGTTTACAGCATGGCTGCGATACTTGAACCTTTCAGCCAAAATATCCAACTTCTGTTGGCATTTGAGGACTGGGTTAGCCTTCCCGATTAGTTTTGTGGGACATTTCAGTCTCTGTTGTGTGGTGATCTTAGTTTCCTAGGCCACAGGTGGTGCCCCCCCCCCCTAAATCAGGCAGGTCTAGAGAAGCCACGTAATGCTGGTCAGTAATCAAGAGAAGGCAGGGGCAGAACACGAGCATTCCCCGCCATTCAAGGAGGCTTCCATAAATGCAGAGAGCCAATACATGTTGCTCTGGTACTGGGCTCATCCAAGGAAGCATCAAATCCTGCTCATGATTGTGTAACCTCACTTCCATATATTTAACATTTCATGATTCACAGGCTATGTTTTTAGAAGCTAACACATGTGTTAATGTTGCACATGATGTCTTCCCCCAACATAAGCCTAGATATAAACAAGCACAATATAAAATGTCACAAACAGTGAATATAATAAACATAATAAATAATACCTTTATGGGCAGTGACTTTGATTGCTTTAGTTGCAAAGCTTCCTTCTCTTTATAGGCTGTGGATGGCAATGAAAATAATAAAGTATGCTTTAAAATATATTCTGAGTTTGCTGAAATAAAATACATTGTATCTGCATGTGATATATTACATATAATGGTCTTAACAGGTAACTCCATAGCAAAACAGTTAAGCTATATGCCTTACATTCAGAAGGTTGTGGTTTCACTTTCAGACTTAACCATCGAGTTTGCAATGTTTCCGTATGGGTTCCAGGGTCCTAGTGTGTGTAAAACATGAAAAGACCCACTGCAGGCATGTCGTAAAAGTCAAATAATTGGCAGCTTCCTTCGAAACCGGAGTGCATCTGCCTGAGAGGCAAGGAACCAATAATCAGCATACAAGTAAGCCAGATCTTTAAAGCGGATGTGCACACAAAGACTAAATTTCTGGAAGAAGAGAAAGTCCAGAAATGATTAAAGTATGAGAATTTTCAGCCGAAGTTTACAGCCAGTTTGAAAGGAAAGAAGACCAAATGAATACATGAGAATTAGAACCAGATATGATCAGGTGTCAATCAAATGAACACTGATTGCAGCAAACCCTTCATCATAAAGATAACTGATCTATCGTCACTTCGCTACTGAGTTGAGTGCTTGATGCAACACTGTGAGCTGTGAATTTTATGTGGAATATTTTTTCTGTTGTTCCGCAGCGTGTTGTTGACCCCACTAAATTAGAGGGTGGCCAATTATGTTCAGAATGGTGTGTACTTTCACTGGTGCAGCGCCGGCTTTCAGGACTGACCATTTGCGCCGACAATGAGCTGTAATTATGGTGCTGGAACATTAGTATTGGCACATCTGACAGTTGCTTTATGCATTTTTACTTTGCATATGCAAGCTTCAAGATTTTTCTGGGACTGACAAGTTTTTCACTAGTTTTCAAATGAGATAGTGGAGGACATTTTGTGTGATCTCTACTGACACGTGAAGGGGACAGTTATGGCAGCGACTCATCTGCAATGATGTTGGAATCTCGACTAACAACTAACTGATCTAATATATGCTTTGATGTAATGTATGTTTAAAATAACATACATTTCCACACACAAAAAGTATAAATATCAGACCTAGATAATTCAACACAAATATAAATTAAATCCAAGGCTGCTCTTTTGGTGGTACGCAATGGTACATAGTAGGTGCTCCTTTTCTATGCACAACTTTCCAGCGTTACCGTAATACACATTTTGTGGTGAGTGCCAGCAAATATCTTAAACACTTTGTTGTGAGTACCAGCACTTTCTTTTCTATCTTTGTTCTTCTGTGTTCATTTGAAGATGTAAATGCACTGTATCCATTTACAACATGGCTACGATATTTGCACTTTTCAGGCAACACATCCAACTTCTGCAGGCATTTGTTAACCTGGTCAGCCAGGTTTTCCTAGATTTTAAAAAAGCCCTGGCTAAATCATTTCATGAGAACAATCTTACATACCTAACTCCAAGGCACAGCTCAGGTACTCAAGTCTTGACATCCTTACATACAAGTGGATTTCTTTGGCTTTGCAGATGTGAAGCAAAGTTGGCGTCACAAAAGCTTGCTGAAAAACTTCCAGCAGAACCCCAGACTCATAGACTTTCCAAAGGGCGTGACAAGATGCTAAAGAGGAGCAGCGTATTGTAAAACATGCACTTCCCATTGTCATGCTTGTAATTTCACCATGGTGACACAGCAATTTAAGTGCATTCACAATTTCCACTGATTCCTGCATTATATGTAACGTTTGGAGAAAACAGCTGTTAGTAAAATATGTTGACTGGTTTAAGAAGGTGTTCGATATTTTCTATCATACTTATTCCTGATTCCTATTTTGCTCTCTCTATCTGTGTGTGTGTGAGTGTGTGTGTGTGTGTGTGTGTGTGTGTGTGTGTCTGTGTGTGGGCGCACAATTCTGAGCATATGTGTGAAAATAAAGATAATAATGAATCTATGAAGCAGTCACAGTACAAATATACAAATTTGAACTGTCACAATTTCACTGACTTTTTTTGGGCTTACTGATCACATGACAACACATTGAAACTGAAACTGATACACTAGTCCCATCTCTTAAAAATAAATATATGTGGAAGTACTATCTATTGACACTAAACATAGCCAAATGACACCTATTAACACTAAACGTACATGTCCTATATCTTAACATTACTAAATATTTGCAGGAATCCTATCTCCAGACATTGTTGACACACAAAAATGTGCACAAAAACTAAGCTTGTACACTAATCTCATCTCTTGATATTAAACCTTATGTACTAGATTGTTGTGACAGTCTTGTGCAAAGAGAAAGAAACTGGTAAAATGTCAGCATACGGTGAAGACAGTTCCTTGCTAGAATGACTTATACTTTACACAGAACCACAAACAAACAAAAGGTCAATGGCAATATTATTTTAATGCTGCAAGTGATTGGCCTTTACAAATTCAAGGTGATGAGCATAATTAAATCAATTAATGCGAATTGATCCCAGAGCTGTACTGGCCTGGCCTGGAAAGAACACAGATGTGACTGGGATTGAATCCAGACCCTTTTCTTGGCATGCATGCTAAGTAATGCTAACACAGATCAAAAACAAAACGAAAAAGTATCTGTGTACAGGAAGAATTAAAGACCCTCAGAATGACGACAAATTTGTTGGCAAAATAATTAGGACCCAGGCCCAGACTTTAAAACAAATAGTACTGATGGTACTATACAGGCGGCACAAACATTAATTAAGTCAGAAGTGTTCACCTTTACAAATGATTACTCTCTCGACTAAATGTGAAATAGTCATAATAAAAGTAAGTGGCTGAGAGGTCACAATGTCTTGCTATTTGTCTGTATTGACATCCTAGCTTGTCGGTCTGTCCTCTGATACAGCAGCCATCTCAGTGTTTCCATGCTCACCGTATCCCGAAAGGAGTTGACTGGCATATTTTCTTTCTTTGCTCTGCAACCAGTCTCTACACGCTTGTCCTTGTTTAATACCTATTTCCAGCAGGTGTTCCATTGCCTCATCAAGAATGTCATTCTCCCACCCTGCGAGATGTGTTCTGTTCTTTCTAAAGATCTAGATTTTAAAAAAAAAGTACTAGTCAGTACTCTACAAGGAGAGAACTTATCCTTAAGAACACTTTAGCATGGTAGATATCATAAATAAAAACAAATAATCATCAGAGCACATTTAAACAAAACAAAGTCACCTGTAGGGCTTCATTTGTCTGCTTTACTTCCTTCTTAAATTGTTCAAAGGCAGCGGCTGATCCATCTCTGCGACGAAGATGAGCAAATGCAGCTGAGGATTATTTAGGCATAGAATTTCAAAAGTTCTGCAACAAATCTGGCTTTTCTAGCAAAAATGTAATTACAATTTTTTTTTTTTAAGTAAACATGTCACATTCCAATGAAATCCCATTATCTTCGGCAAACATGAAGAGGCAAAAAACACATAAGGCAATCTGCTTGCTGAGATCTATGCCATACTAACATAAAATTGCTTGGAAATTATACTGTTTTGCTTTAATTTTGCAAAACAGTACAACATTATTTCCCATTGTCACAGTGGTTTCCTCTAGATCAAATGTTCTATCCAGTGTCACCATCTTTTCCTCATCCATTGAATTTATTTACACCCCCCCCCCCCTTCCCAAGCTCTACATTAGTGAATTCTAAGCTCAACACTAGTGATTATACAATACCATTTAAATAAGGGAAAGAACTTTCGGAAGTATGTTACCTTATTACCTTTAACTGACATATATTCTGAAAGATAGTCCCTCAGATTATCTGACACAGAATAATCAAAAGATTGTTAAGAAAATGTTTACAACAGAAACCCACCTTTAGCCATTATAAGCACTTGCTCTTCCACTTCCCGACAGCTGCATGTTTGCTTACTTAAGGCGGTGGGAATTATTTGTTCACACCTGACGTTGACATTCATCTCACCTTTCAAAATAAAATAAAAGGTTATTCTCAATGCCTTGAGGTGTCATTGATATATAATGTTAGCCATATATTTTGTATAGACAAACTGGCACTAGATATACCAACTGGCACTAGAATGACCAACCGGCACTAGATAGACCTACCGGCACTAGATAGACCAACCGGCACTAGAAAGACCAACCGGCACTAGATAGAGCAACCGGCACTAGATAGACCAACCGGCACTAGATAGACCAACCGGCACTAGAATGACCAACCGGCACTAGAAAGACCAACCGGCACTAGATAGACCAACCGGCACTAGATAGACCAACCGGCACTAGATAGAGCAACCGGCACTAAATAGAGCAACCAGAACTAGATAGACCAACTGGCACTAGATAGAGCAACCAGAACTAGATAGACCAACCAGCACTAGATAGAGCAACCAGCACTAGATAGAGCAACCAGAACTAGATAGACCAACCAGCACTAGATAGACCAACCGGCACTAGAATGACCAACCGGCACTAGAATGACCAACCGGCACTAGATAGACCAAACGGCACTAGATAGACCAACCAGAACTAGATAGATCAACCAGCACTAGATAGACCAACCGGCACTAGATAGAGCAACTGGCACTAGATAGAGCAACCAGAACTAGATAGACCAACTGGCACTAGATAAAGCAACCAGAACTAGATAGACCAACCAGCACTAGATAGAGCAACCAGCACTAGATAGAGCAACCAGAACTAGATAGACCAACCAGCACTAGATAGACCAACCGGCACTAGAATGACCAACCGGCACTAGATAGACCAACCAGCACTAGATAGACCAACCAGAACTAGATAGATCAACCAGCACTAGATAGACCAACCAGCACTAGATAGACCAACCAGCACTAGATAGAGCAACCAGCACTAGATAGACCAACCGGCACTAGATAGACCAACCAGCACTAGATAGACCAACCAGCACTAGATAGACCAACCAGCACTAGATAGACCAACCAGCACTAGATAGACCAACTAGCACTAGATAGACCAACCAGCACTAGATAGACCAACCAGAACTAGATAGACCAACTGGCACTAGATAGAGCAACCAGAACTAGATAGACCAACTGGAACCTTTTCAAGAGTTGGTGTTGATACTAAGTGGACGATTCATTATATACAATTATTGGTTCTTAATTTATAACGTACCCCAAACACGAAATCCCCGTGGGAAATCCACAGCTGACCTGACAGTCCATTATTTAAAGGGGTGGAAGTGTGCTGTTGTGTGTGTGTTTTTTTTTGGAGTGTTCATCTAGTGTCTTATAATCCTAACCCTAACCCTAAACTTGGGTGTAGATAAATCGCGAGAAACTACAACCTGAACACCCTAGAATTTATTGGGAATGTCTCCCGTGACGTTGTCGCGACGTCAGGGGTAAGTTATAAATTAAGTACCCAATTATTCATATGGACAACTGTTGCAGTATTGTGCTTCAGAAAATAGGTGTGTTTTCCGCCAGAAGGAATGTACACAACAGTGCATTAGCACTTCAGTAATATATTCTTTTGTCTTCACTCTGATTGTATTGTTACTACATGTTTAAAAGTGTACTTCATTTTAGCTGTAGTTAATGTATTGTAGGTCTGCAAGATGATTCCTCCATCTTTACTGCTGAACACAGTTAAAGGCTGACCTAATTTTGGGAAGGTCCCTGACTAGATTCTCCAAGTATCCACTTTTTAAACTCTAGCGGGTTCCAACTACCCTCTAGTTCACACAACAAGAATTGCTTTCTGCGTTTATAATCATAACATGGGACAGTCCTGTAGATGAATTATAAAAAGCCACATCTGCAGCCCAACTGCATTTCTTAAATAAGAAAAGTGATTATCTTTCACTTGAACTAGATCAGTTCATTACAGACCTTATGTCCTTATTGTTCCATCTCCTGCATTCAACCAGATTTTTTTGTTTAGTATATTTCATATCCAGTGTATAAAAGTTCTTTATCTTATTGGTAATCAGTAAGAGACAGATGTTCTAACTGTCTTTATCTTACTGGTGATCAGTATGAGACAGATGTTCTAACTTCCTTTATCTTACTGGTGATCAGTATGAGACAGATGTTCTAACCTCCTTTATCCAACTGGTGATCAGTATGAGACATATGTTCTAACTTCTTTTATCTTACTGGTGATCAGTATGAGACAGATGTTCTAACTTCCTTTATCTTACTGGTGATCAGTATGAGACAGATGTTCTAACTTCCTTTATCTTACTGGTGATCAGTATGAGACAGATGTTCTAACTTCCTTTATCTTACTGGTGATCAGTATGAGACATATGTTCTAACTTCTTTTATCTTACTGGTGATCAGTATGAGTCAGATGTTCTAACCTCCTTTATCTTACTGGTGATCAGTATGAGACAGATGTTCTAACCTCCTTTATCTTACTGGTGATCAGTATGAGACAGATGTTCTAACCTCCTTTATCTTACTGGTGATCAGTATGAGACAGATGTTCTAACCTCCTTTATCCAACTGGTGATCAGTATGAGTCATATGTTCTAACCTCCTTTATCTTACTGGTGATCAGTATGTCAGATGTTCTAACTTCCTTTTTCTTACTGGTGATCAGTATGAGACATATGTTCTAACTTCTTTTATCTTACTGGTGATCAGTATGAGTCAGATGTTCTAACCTCCTTTATCTTACTGGTGATCAGTATGAGACAGATGTTCTAACCTCCTTTATCTTACTGGTGATCAGTATGAGACAGATGTTCTAACCTCCTTTATCCAACTGGTGATCAGTATGAGACAGATGTTCTAACCTCCTTTATCCAACTGGTGATCAGTATGAGACAGATGTTCTAACCTCCTTTATCCAACTGGTGATCAGTATGAGTCAGATGTTCTAACCTCCTTTATCCAACTGGTGATCAGTATGAGACAGATGTTCTAACCTCCTTTATCTTACTGGTGATCAGTATGAGTCAGATGTTCTAACCTCCTTTATCCAACTGGTGATCAGTATGAGACAGATGTTCTAACTTCCTTTATCTTACTGGTGATCAGTATGAGACAGATGTTCTAACTCCCAACCCTGTAATTGCCTATAAATGTTATGATCGTTCTTCATAAAACAAACTGCCACGATTGATTCACTAAAATACCAATTATGCAACGACCCCTCTTCATTTAACATAATATTAGAGATACAAAGTAAGGTATGACAGTTCTTACCTGTTCTTCTTTTCCTTGTGCTTTTTTGTGGAGAGCCTGGGTCAATTCTATTGGCCAGCCATCCTTGCAGAGTTCTTCTTAAAGATGCCACAAAAACATAAAATCCCCTATCTGATCGTTTTATCAGGACATTCAGCAGTTCCTTAGGATAAACAGTTTAAAATGTGTTGTCAGAGGTATACAGTTTTTAAAAAAAAAAAAAGATTATCAATATAGCTGAAAATATTTAAATTTTCAAGACAAGATGTTGTTTTTGTGCTAGTTGTTGAAGATGGGGATGGAGTGTGATGTCAGTTTTTTCAGGGCTTTATTAATAACCTACCCCAAACAGGGGAAATCCACAGGTCAAGGGACAGTCTAATATTTCAGGGGGTGGTAGATAGGCTGCAGGCAGTCATGGGACCTAGGTTGCATGCAGTCGTGAGACCTAGGCAGCACTCTCTCATGGGACGTAGATGGGCTGGAGTAGGGCCAGTTCTAGATATTTTGGGATCGTTAAAAGCATCAGAAAGCCGGGAAACCCAGTCTTACCACCCTCTAAAATGTTGGACTGCCTGTGACGTCATCTGGGGTAGGATATTAATAAAGCACCGTTTTTTCTTCCTAGTGTTCACTGGCTGTAAACTCTAGCGAAAACGTATGGTTGTTAGTTCACCCCTGGACTGTAGTCTTGTTCCAGAACCTGTGTGTTGCGTGCACATCCACTTTACGGATCTAATCTATTTGTATGCAGACTGTTGGTGCCTTGCCTTTCAGGCAGATGCACTCTGACTTTGAAGAAAGCCCCGCAGTTAGTCGACTCTTATGACATGCTTGAGGAGGCAGTGGATCTGTTCTTGTTTTTCCTATAATAGGGCCCTAGAACCCAAAAGAGGAAATTTATAATCAAATCCCTTATAAAATCTGCAAAACAAATACACCACAGTCAGGATAATGAATACACCATAGTCAGGATAATGAATACACCATAGTCAGGATAATGAATACACCACAGTCAGGATAATGAATACACCATAGTCAGGATAATGAATACACCATAGTCAGGATAATGAATACACCATAGTCAGGATAATGAATACACCATAGTCAGGATAATGAATACACCATAGTCAGGATAATGAATACACCACAGTCAGGATAATGAATACACCATAGTCAGGATAATGAATACACCACAGTCAGGATAATGAATACACCATAGTCAGGATAATAAATACACCATAGTCAGGATAATGAATACACCACAGTCAGGATAATGAATACACCATAGTCAGGATAATGAATACACCATAGTCAGGATAATGAATACACCACAGTCAGGATAATGAATACACCATAGTCAGGATAATGAATACACCACAGTCAGGATAATGAATACACCATAGTCAGGATAATAAATACACCATAGTCAGGATAATGAATACACCACAGTCAGGATAATGAATACACCATAGTCAGGATAATGAATACACCATAGTCAGGATAATGAATACACCACAGTCAGGATAATGAATACACCATAGTCAGGATAATAAATACACCATAGTCAGGATAATGAATACACCACAGTCAGGATAATGAATACACCACAGTCAGGATAATGAATACACCATAGTCAGGATAATAAATACACCATAGTCAGGATAATAAATAAACTATAGTCAGGATAATGAATACACCATAGTCATGATAATAAATACACCATAGTCAGAATAATAAATACACCATTTTCAGGATAATGAATACACCATAGTCAGGATAATAAATACACCATAGTCAGGATAATTAATACACCATAGTCAGGATTTTGTACCTCATTAATGGCTTCTGTTGTTTTCTTGTCTTTGATCCTAGTGACATCAGTATTTGAAAGGATCTGTTTAGATAACAGATCATTAAAGATGTCATCAGGGGTCATATTTTCAACAAGGATGTCACGGTTGGCTCTTAGAGCTTGCTTGTGTTCAGGTGTCATTGCATCATTTTCTGAAAAAGAAGCAAGTTTTTTTTTTAGTACAATGAAGGGAAATTGTAGTTAGTACAATGATGATACAAGCATCACAGTGAATTGGAAAAAAAAAATTGCAGAAGGCATGGTACCAGGAAGGAGGGGCAGGGGCCAAACAATACAAAGATGGGCACAGGATATAAGTGACCCCTTAGATATGAAAGTACACGAGGCGGGAGAGCTAGTGAGAGACCAAGTTTATTTCAGGCAGTCCATGATGAGAGCGATGTTCTGCAAAGGACCTGCTACATGATGACAACAATGATGAAAAATAGTTCTCAGAACAATGAAGGAAGATTGTTCTTCAAGACTGTAAGGTAATTATATCTGTAGCAAATAATATCATGAGGATGTAAATCTTTCAGTGAATAAAAAGAAGTGAATACAGACACAGGTACAATCCAGTTCTACCTTCTTCAGAGAAAAGAAACCATTCTATTAGTCTAAAAACTGACATATGTGGATTTCTTGAACAGTTATACCATTTCATTTTCACTCACTCTATGTGTATGTATGTTTTCTGTGTGTATACAGTCAATTTAGACAAATTTTGTTCACAATAACCGAGTGTTCTTATAAGTGACCTGACGGCCTTAATACACTCTACTGTCTTAAGTGGGTGAGTGTTTTTCTAGAACAGTTTTTTCCCCCTTAAAACATGTGTGTGTATATGTCTATATAGTTAAGCCAGTAAATGTAGCTTATACAGTGAAACCTTGTTAATATGAATTCCAAAGAACAGAAAAATCAAGAGTTCATTTATTTTAAAAGTTTGTGCTAAACAGTGAGTAACAGATGTGTTATCTTCTTCTTCTTTCTGTTCACCGGCTGTAAGCTCTGGCAGAAACCTGCGTTCACCAGCTGTAACCTCTGGCAGAAACGTGCGTTCACCAGCTGTAACCTCTGGCAGAAACCTGCGTTCACCAGCTGTAACCTCTGGCAGAAGCCTGCGTTCACCAACTGTAACCTCTGGCAGAAACCTGCGTTCACCAGCTGTAACCTCTGGCAGAAACCTGCGTTCACCAGCTGTAACCTCTGGCAGAAACCTGCATTCACCAGCTGTAACCTCTGGCAGAAACCCGCGTTCACCAGCTGTAACCTCTGGTAGAAACCTGCGTTCACCAGCTGTAACCTCTGGCAGAAACCTGCGTTCACCAGCTGTAACCTCTGGCAGAAACCCGCGTTCACCAGCTGTAACCTCTGGCAGAAACCCGCGTTCACCAGCTGTAACCTCTGGCAGAAACCTGCGTTCACTAGTTGTAACCTCTGGCAGAAACCTGCGTTCACTAGTTGTAACCTCTGGCAGAAACCTGCATTCACCAGCAGTAACCTCTGGCAGAAACCTGCGTTCACTAGTTGTAACCTCTGGCAGAAACCTGCGTTCACTAGTTGTAACCTCTGGCAGAAACCTGCATTTACCAGCAGTAACCTCTGGCAGAAACCCGCGTTCACCAGCTGTAACCTCTGGCAGAAACCTGCGTTCACCAGCTGTAACCTCTGGCAGAAACCTGCGTTCACCAGCTGTAACCTCTGGCAGAAACCTGCATTCACCAGCTGTAACCTCTGGCAGAAACCCGCGTTCACCAGCTGTAACCTCTGGCAGAAACCTGCGTTCACTAGTTGTAACCTCTGGTAGAAACCTGCGTTCACCAGCTGTAACCTCTGGCAGAAACCCGCGTTCACCAGCTGTAACCTCTGGCAGAAACCTGCATTCACCAGCTGTAACCTCTGGCAGAAACCCGCGTTCACCAGCTGTAACCTCTGGCAGAAACCTGCGTTCACTAGTTGTAACCTCTGGTAGAAACCTGCGTTCACCAGCTGTAACCTCTGGCAGAAACCTGCATTCACCAGCTGTAACCTCTGGCAGAAACCCGCGTTCACCAGCTGTAACCTCTGGCAGAAACCTGCGTTCACTAGTTGTAACCTCTGGTAGAAACCTGCGTTCACCAGCTGTAACCTCTGGCAGAAACCCGCATTCACCAGCTGTAACCTCTGGCAGAAACCTGCGTTCACTAGTTGTAACCTCTGGCAGAAACCTGCGTTCACTAGTTGTAACCTCTGGTAGAAACCTGCGTTCACCAGCTGTAACCTCTGGCAGAAACCTGCGTTCACTAGTTGTAACCTCTGGCAGAAACCCGCGTTCACTAGTTGTAACCTCTGGCAGAAACCTGCGTTCACTAGTTGTAACCTCTGGCAGAAACCTGCGTTCACCAGCTGTAACCTCTGGCAGAAACCTGCGTTCACCAGCTGTAACCTCTGGCAGAAACCTGCATTCACCAGCTGTAACCTCTGGCAGAAACCCGCGTTCACCAGCTGTAACCTCTGGCAGAAACCTGCGATCACTAGTTGTAACCTCTGGTAGAAACCTGCGTTCACCAGCTGTAACCTCTGGCAGAAACCCGCGTTCACCAGCTGTAACCTCTGGCAGAAACCTGCGTTCACTAGTTGTAACCTCTGGTAAAAACCTGCATTCACCAGCAGTAACCTCTGGCAGAAAGTTCTGGTTATTCGCCCATTTCTGGACTTCGACCTTGTTCCAGGACTTGACTTTTGCATGCGCATCCATTTTACAGATCTAGCTTATATGTATATGCAGGCTGTTGGTACCTTGTCTCTTAGGCAGATGCAATCCAATTTCGCAGGAAACCTCTAATTGGTCAACTCTCACAACATGCTGATTAGGCAGGCAGTGGGTCTGTTCTTCTTTGTTCTCAACAATGGGAGCCCCACAACTCCCACAGGAAAGATGAATTAGGAATGATACATCCCTGCTGGGACCAAAACTGTGTTTATGTTAACTGAGCCAGTTCGTGTTAATGAAGTTTTTTACTTATACCCATATTCCTCTGATTATATTTTAAACATTTATGATGACCATTTAAGTTTTCAATCTTTGTGTATTGCCTCATTACATGTCGAGATTACATTCAGCTAGTTTCTTTGTCAACTGAGATGAACAAGATAATTCTTAAGAGTTATTTAAATCCTATCCTGAAATATGGAAGTGAATCATGGACAGAAAGTTGGTCGATTAGTGAAAAATTATGCAGAAGCGGCAGAGATGTAATATACAACACCCTGGATAGGCAGAAACAGTTACGAAGATGTCTTGAAAGAAACTGACCCACAAAGAGAACGAACTGCCCACATCAGAAGGGTGGTCATGTCTTGAGAAGAAAACTGAAGCGCATCTTGACAGTGGGAAAGTTGGAGGGAAAAAGAGGCAGAAGAAGAGAAAAGATGCTGGACAGTTGACAGCATGGCATGGAAGATCATTTATGTCATAACTGATTGAAAGGACACAACATAGAAGGTTGTGGACAGATATAACTACCAATGTCACAAAAGCATGGACGATAAGCTTAGTTGTCTAGAGCAAGACTTTGTATTTGTGTGCCCTGACTATTGATCTGGTGGGGGGGGGGGGGGGGGGGTGCTGGCTGAATCACTCCAATGCAGTGAAGCATAAAATAGCTGCCTCACTGCTCTGAAGTGGGAAAATATTTGCATACCATATCTTACAAAACTATGTTCCATTTGATACTCTACACTTGTTTCTATGAATTAACGTGTACTCATATGTTCTTTTTCTTCTTATTCTTTAGAAGAGGCATCAGGTGTGAGCCTTGGTATGTGCTGTGTAGATGCCGGTATTTGCATCCTCTAATATTTCATATATCCCTCACTTGAGTGGTCAACCTCTGGTGGTTTCATTCTGTTTAAGTGACAGGGCTCTCTGCTGTGCACTATCTGGTGGTATTCTTGATACATGTCCAAACCATCTGATCTGTTGTTTCTTGATGTAGTTAAGTACTGGTTTATGTCAAAATTTCTTTCCTTATATTGTCATTATGATCCTGTCTTTTCTAGTTATATTTAGGATTCCTCATAGACATTTTGTTTATGTAGTATTAATTATTCTTTTTGTTGTTGTTGTTGTTAACATCCATGTCTGGCACCGGTAACACCATGCTGGTTAAAACAAAAAACAGAAAACTAGAAAACAAAACAAAAAAACTAGAAATTATTTTATGAAGACAATAATCACTGTATAAAAGGTACCCATTTCAAGGAGATTTAAACACATGACTACTAGACCAATAGGCAAGAGTTATATGAATCAGAATGAGAAAAAAGATATGTGCTACTATGAGACTTAAAGAAAATAAGGGCTTTACTAATTATTTAGTCAATTAATATTTTCCCTTTGCGTCTTCCTCTTAATTTTCCCCCCATTATGAAGCTTAGACTTCCAAACATCTCTTGCTAAAGTCTTCTGACTTTTATTTTTTTTATTTTTATCTCTTGTAGTAGCTTCAACATTTTTTCATAATTTTTAAAACTGATAAATGAACTGGTAACTTAAGCATGATAATTTACCTTCTGCATCATCTGAAGACTTCTGAGAGTCCCTTGAATCATTCAGTAAGGTAGGAGCCCCATCCATTGATGAATTGTGAAAAGATCTGCGGTGTCTTTGAGACTCAGTGGAAGAAGTCAAATCAAACGAGAGATCACCACTGTCTCTATTGTTACCAAAACTCCTCCTAGCACCAGGGTTGACTCCAGATATGGCTAGATAAAGAACCATTTGAACAAACTCATTTTTATTTGTCAAATATGTTTTATTTATAAGTACATTATAAATCTGTTAATCCTGTTGATATCATTTTAACGCTAATCACAACAATTTTTAGCTTAGTACTGGAAAGGAATTTACATTTTAAACTGTTCTTCAGTGAAAAGAAATGTTAAAGTTATTGATGTTGTTAGCCAATGAAACTATTTTATCCAGTCCCTAGCAATTTATTCCTCTAAGAAAGTGATCATAAATGCAGACAATTACGAGTCAAATGTAAGGATAAAAATGTCTCAAGACAGATATGGTTTTTCATGAATGGCCCAGCAAAAGAAGTCATACGGGATGGAGGAGGAGGAATCCATACTGAATGGACCCATGGTGCAATAAAAGAGTGCAGTCTTTCTAAGGAAAACTTGCCTCCAATTACAAACCAGAGGTGATAGCACTGGAGGAAGCAGCATCCATTATTCAGTGGACGCAGCTTAGAGTCACAAGTGGCTACAGTGACAGATGCTCGCTGAGTACTACCAGAAATATTAAATGATAAGCAACTACAGCTCAACAGGCTTAGATTTCTGCTAAATTCAATGGGCCAGCTGAGCAAGCAGATTGTGCTCCAGTGAATCCCACCCAGCTCTAGGCAATATTATGGGACATGAAAGAACAGATTACTTAGCAAAAACAGCCAGATCCAGAATTCAAGTCAGAGTGCATCTGCCTGAGAGGCAAGGAACCAACAGTCTGCACACAAATGAGTGAGATCTGTTAAACGGATGCACACACAACACTCAGGTTCTGACACAGGACTGCAGTCCAGAAGTGGACAAACAACCAGAACTTTCCACCGGAGTTTACAGCCGGTGAACATAAAGAAAAAAAGAAGATATGTACAAAACAAATTCTAAACTTTGCCCATGTGGACATGCACCACAAAATATTTAAAAAATACATTTGCTGAAGATATTCTCTCTCTACATGCAGTAGAAGGATCCTAGGACTGGCCAGTTAGCATTCTGCTAGGAACCAAGCTGTATGGATCAGTAGTAAACATGTGTCGCACCACAGCCTTCATAGAGGCGTGTAGCTTTCTCATCTGAAAACCACTGGGAGGGAGAACAAGAAGAAGATAATGATGAGGTTAAAAACTGGGCTTGTGACTTTCTGCCATTTTGCAAACCAGATGAAATGCAGCCAGATTCAACCCCCAGATTTATTTTAACTCAGGTGTTGCCTAAAACATTCTCCCCGCCCCCAACCCCGCCCCCCCCCCCCCTCCCAAAGAGAAGCTGTGTAACTATTTCTCCTTAACAATGAAGGAACATGGAGAAGATCAGCTGTTTTTCTATGATATAAATAATTTGATATTATGATAAACATTAACTTACATATTCGTGATGAAACATTTTCTTTTGCTGATCTTTGTTCAAGCTGCTGTTTCTCCCTGTCTCTTCTCTCCATTTCCTCCTTCATTAAAGAAAGTAATAACAACAACACAATAACAGCAGCCCTGAGCAACAGACTACATTAGCAGGTACATACAATAAACATATGTAAAAACTATGCTGGCCTGTACAGTCATGACAAATTATTCAAAATTGTGATGTTTTGAGAGATTTCGAGCAAATGAGAGTAGAAAATCTGACACCCTATATTTCACTTGTTCACCGCGATGATACGAAAACTCATATGGGAGAGGTTCAAATCCGATCATCGAACCACAACTTAGTGAAGGACAAATGGGGTTTAGGAAGAACAAAAGTTGTACTGATGCAATATTCACACTTAAAACAATTAGTAGAAAGGACGGTAGAATTCGATAAAGAATTACACATCGCATTCGTCGATCAAAAGAAAGCTTTCGATCGAGTTAATATAAATGAATTATGTAAGTACTACTGAATTACAGAGTAAACAATCATCTTATTAAACTGTGCAAGAGTTTGTACGTGAACAGTCAATGAGCAGTCAGAACAAATACAGAAATGTCAGAAAGGTTCTACACACATTAGATCTGGAGTGAGGTAGGGGTGCATTCTATCACCACTCCTGTTCATCACACACCTCGACCAAATTTGCAAATCAGCTAACATCAGCGAAGGGGGACAATATCGGAGAATTACTAAATGAATTGCTTTTGGCGATGAATAGGCAATCACAGAACCAACAGCAGTACAGCTACAAAAACATATTAACAGACTCCACTCAGAATGCGACAACTACGATATGAAGATCAACGTAGAAAAAACAGAAGTGATGACATTCTCCAGATAAGAAACAACCACCAATATTAAAATTGATGAACATCAATTAAAGCAGGCAAAGAATTTTACATATCTAGTGAGCATTTTTTTCAGAAGACGAAAGAATGAATAAAGAAATCCAACAAAGATGCAATAAAGCCAACCAAGTTTTAGGCCAAATAGCCTCCAATTTTGAAATGCAAATATGTGAATATGTACACTAAAAGAACAGTTTAACAAAAAATGTTTATAAACGCTCTGCTATCAGAGATGTGGCTTTACAGAAGAGTGCTTAAAATACCTTGGACAACTAAAAAAGAGCAGCCAAGAGGTTTTGAAAGAGGGGGAGCCTGAAGACAACTTATTCCAGACATCAGAAGGAGACAGTCATCATTTTTCGGCCATGTTATGAGTAGGGGGAAAATGGAACATGTTGTGACCACTGGAAAGATCTGTGGAAGGAGGGATAGGGGAAGACGAGGAGAGAAGATTCTTGACAGTCTTGCAGCATGGCATGGAGGTGTGTCAGCACACAAACTGATACATGCTGCAGGAGATCACAGATTGTGGAGAGAGAGGCATGATCACATAAGGAAAACGTTATCAAGGGAAATCTAAAATTACAGAAAGAATATAATTAGAGACGTAACTGAATAATAAGTGGAAGGCACTGAGGGAGTTGCACGAGACAGCGGGTTTTTTTTTTTTTAATGAATAAGTTTAGAATTGATTCTCCAATATGAGAGATAGAAAGGCGAGATAAAAGACATAAAATCAGACTGTTACTGGTACTATCGAACTGGGGCACTGCTGAAGATGGGGGACAGAGCACTTTTGGGAATGTCCTGAGTGCTGTGTTGTGATGTTGATTCTTAATTCAACATTTATGAGAAGATTTTACCTTTCATTCAGAATTACAATTACCATTAAATCTGCTGTTGCAATGGTTGTAACCAAAAATGTCTAAAAACACTACTTGCCTTATTTCTACTTATTTGCTTTTATTTACCTAAGTAAACAAAATCAATACCTTTTCTTCATACAGCTTTCTTATCTGTTCTTGTATTGCATCCAGAGTTTTATCTTTATCAGCCATTTTCACAAACAGTCCAGATTTCCTGCAAATGTCTCATGCTCTCAGTGCACAATTTGCACAAGCCTGGTTGGTGGCCATCTGATGCAGATTTAAATATGTAAATCCAAAGATATCTTGAACTGACAAAAGCCTAAAATTAAACAAGAAGGAAGGTATGGGCATGCCTGTATGTTAAGTAAAGCAAAGAAAAGTATAACAGAAACTTATCATGCCTATTGTAAGAAGTGACTAACAATACACAACGTTGATGATATCTGCTCTGTCTATGCTTCTTCCTACATTTGTTGGTATATTACTTGCCAGTTGGTCCGCTCATTCATTACCTTTCAAGCTGGCACACCTAGGTGTACAGATCCATGTAAGGGAGGTTGAGTTTGATTTCCGAATGCTTTTTCCTATTCAAAGCGTATACTACCTGTTGTGATTTTCTAAGCATGTTTATGGAGTCTGATACGATAACAGCATGTGTGACAGCTTGTTCTGCTGCCCACGCTAGTGCTCTAGAAGCAGCGGTTATCTCCATGTCTTAAAACTAGGTACTGAACCTGACATAAAATATTTCTTACAAATGCTACCAATTATGAAATTAAAATGTTTAAAAAAAAGAAATCATTGAAGCTAGTGTTATGCAGTTCAGATCTGATCAGGAGAACTCACCAGGAACCCAAGAAATTATTATTCTTATCAGGAATGTCTCTTATCCACATAGGAATTCAAGCAAGAAAACTTGTCAGGGATTTCTTCACAACATAATTCACCACATCTGAAATCATCTTGAGCAGTCTGTACATTACTGTATTATATAAAGCCAGCCGTATGCTATTATTTCACATAGCTCAGTGTTACGCTGTAGTCCCAGCCATCGCCGGTGCGGCATAGTTGCAGAAACAGGTCTGCAATCAACATATTGCTGAGACCCTGTTAAGAGTATTTGTTTGCCCTCGATAATATTGGCCCGTTATTCTGAGGCAATCCTAGTTTTGCCGTGATTTGTTCCATGGCAGGCACTCCACATTTTACACATGACTGAGGCCCTGTTAGTATATTTGTTTGGCCACCATAATATGGTGACAAAGTTAGGAGGAGAGCCCATTTTTCACTACCTGTCCAACTATGCTAGTTGCATTATGATTATATATATATATATATATATATATATATATATATATATATATATATATATATATATATATATATATATATATATATATATATATATAGGCTCTCCTCCAAACTTCTACCCCGGCATTACGACGGCCGAACAAATATCCTTACAGGGCTCAGTCCTATTAAATATATGCAAACTTCCGGCGACAAACGAATCGTGGCAAAACTAGGATTACCTGACAATTTTAAGAGATGCAACACTGCAGGAGATGCGGTAGCTCCTGCTTGTGAGTCCCAGCCATCCAGTTTAGCCCCCATCCACGCGGGTATACGATCGGCGGTGAGGCATAGTCACAGAAACAGGTCGGTGGAATAACATATCGCTGAGACCCTGTTAGAGCATTTGTTTCGTTATACGGGGCCGATGCTAGATTTGCCGCAGTTCGTTTGTCGCCGGAAGTTCGCATATTTTTAATAGGACTGAGGGGTAGTAGTTCGGAGGAGAGCCTATATATATATATATATATATATATATATATATATATATATATATATATATATATATATATATATATATATATATATATATAAATTTTTTTAATCTGAAAATTTGAGTAAAGTACCTACTATTTTAAATAGTATTTACTATTGATGTTTGAAATGGTCGCACTCTGGAGACATTGAATGGTCCTAGCTTCTCGCCATCAACTATGATCAACGAAGAGACTGCAGGTTTATCATGAATTGTTGGTCCAAATTCTTAAAACCTAACAGCGAATGCAGTCAGCAAATAGTTGTGTGAGATAGTAAACGTTGCATTTCCTTATTTGAGTGAGTTGTGATTGACCATTGCAGAGCAATGCAGCATCATCTGCAAAGAGTTCAAAGAGCAGCTCTCTGGTAATTCTAATGACCGAATATCTAAATGGCAGTACCTTCCTAATCCGAATATAAACATAATAATGAAAAAAAAATTATAAACTAAGATATGCTTCAGAGTTGTACTTACAATAATTTCATTCTCCTGTATAGGAGTTACATATCCAATTTCAAGCTAAACAATTACAAATAGACACATCCCTCCTCCGTGGAGCTTCCACTTTCCACTTATCCAATCATAAAGCCCGCTGCTCCCCAGATTTTTGGCTTAAATGCAGACTACAGGCTAACTTGTCTGCGTTCTATCTGAAAATGATCGTTTTTTGTTCTATAATGCTCTGCAGACAATGTTATACCGAACGAGAACACGTATGTTTGTGTTTTTGTTCTTTGTGTTGCTACTGGTATTAAATAATAGTTTAGAAAATTGTTATAAAGTCCCATTTACTTTAATTCTCTTGTTGTGTCCAGATTTCGCGAACAGAGTATTGAGGATTCTGTCATAGTGACTCATTTGATTAAGGGCTCGCTTGAACTAACTAAAGTTACACAAATCATACATCACCCACCAAGTGCCGTTTGGTCTATAAAATATGTGTCTAGCCCTTATACCCAATACGCCTGAAATGCGTGGAAAAGGGTCCTTTACTTTATTTACACAAATAATGACAGTTATTCACACTTCATCAGTAATATTTAATTCTTTGCTTTCCAAAAAGCTTATGTCACCAGAAAGTCGTTACATTATCTACACCACTTCTTTTAATCACACCACTGAGGAAGACTTATATTCCATTTGCGTACAATATAAACACTGCCTTAAATCTTTACTCCCAAATCTCATTATTAGCACTGCCACTAAATTTCTCCAATCTCTCTCTCTCTCTCTCTCTCTCTCTCTCTCTCTCTCTCTCTCTCTCTCTCTCTCTCTCTCTCTCTCTCTTGCAGGGCACTAACAATGTCGGTGCGATCAGTTAGAAAAAAGATCATTTTCCACACCTTTCATGCGTATTGGGTATATAGGGCTAGACCTATATTTTATAGACCAAATGGCACTTAGTGGGTAATGTGGTCAACATGGTGATAACATCACAAACAATTCCTATCTGTAAATAACTTGGTAACCTGCATGCATACAGAGCCTTTTTTCAACCCGCATGGACTCAATGCGTACACACACGCAGGAACAGTACTGTTTTTCCGGCCACCTGAACGCTTGTGTCATCGCCATCACCTCCACCGTCATACTTCCAGTAATCATAGAGAGATCATCGATAGCTATACTGCTTATTGATGTTCGCTATTTGAATTTCCATATACTTCTATCTTGTAGTACAAAGAACCTGTCTGTGTAGAAAAGAACATCTGTCTCATATAAATTTCGCCGAGGAGCTCACTGGCCTCTGCACTGACAACAGGATTCTACTCACGGCAAATCCTATCAAATGCGACAATACACAGTGTATAGGAGAAACAAATGAGCTCTAGATGACCATTCGTCGCAGGTGTAAATGTCAGCAAGCTTTTAGGTCTGCCAGCATTCATTACGTGAATTTGAGCAGCGTTTTTACTTTTGTTTTTTAAATCTAATGCCAATATTTTGTACTGTAGTTAGATAGCCGTTCAAGTTTCATAAATGGTTATAGAATTTGTGAGCTGTTCGTTTGAGCCGCAAATCTAGATGTTATGGGTATATTGTCATAGACATATCGAGATCCATGGCAATGACAGGCAGGTTTATCTGCCTGTAGTGCGCGATAGCAGCTCTTATTTTTTTTTTTTTTTTAAAGCAAATAATTAATATCACAGTGATCATGGGCAACAGTAAAGGTCAAAGCCGAGAGGATAGACTTCATTACACCAGGTTTTATCCCATATATGACGGCCTCTCTCGCTAGCCGCCTGCCGAGAGCGTCGCACAAAGCTCGAACACATTAGCTCCGACAACGGTCCTCCTGATTTTCCGTGCAAATTGCGCCGTGAACCGAACGACGCTGCCATGAAACAAACCCACGACCTTCAGAGGGCGAGGCAAATGGTTAGACCACTTTGCCGTGGCAACTCCCACAGCGGTGAAGCAGTGTTCCAGCTGAAGAGACATGTATTTAAAGCTGGAACGGCTATATTAATTTCAATGTTTTGTCATAAAATTAAGAAAAGGTGAGTTGAAACATTATTATTATTCGCGTAAGTTCTGATAATATTTGTATTAATCTCTCTCCTTCTCTCTCCCAGAGTCTCTCTCTCTCTCTCTCTCTCTCCCTCTCTCTCTCTCTCTCTCTCTCTCTCTCTCTCTCTCTCTCTCTCTCTCTCTCTCTCTCTCTCTTCCTATCCTAAATTCGTTATTATTAATTTATAATAAACAAAAAGGGAAACGTGTCGGGAGCATCACTGAACACTGACAAGACAGTTACCCTGGCAATAGTATTTTCCAAAATAACATAATCACAGAGTCCGAGCACACGAAGTGAAACAAGGAGAGTCCAGGCACTGCGTAGAAACTTCTGCAAACAGTGACACTTAAAAGGTTGGACCTTTTAACATAGACTGACTTTTAGGGCAGTACCACGATATTAGTTTTTACTTACTGTTGAAATATTTTAAAGTGAGGTTCGATTCGAATCATTTGAAGTTCGGCCTGTCGTGATGTGATGACCAACGGTTGTTGCGTTGCCGAGTTTAGTTTTGCGAATCATTCGTTCGTCGAATTAATATTTTACTTAGTTTCACTGTTTTCAGTTTTTAAAAATAACCAGCTGTTGAAGTGGATATGGAGACTGTTTAACTTTCATAAGTCACATCTTCTGAGCTGAGCATTATTGTATTGTTATTAAACGATATCTTAGTAATAATATTACTATTATTACTTATTTTCATTCAAGTGTTTATTAACAACTCAAATCTCAACCATGCTATTAAAATAATAAAATATTTATGTAAAATTGTTTGTCAGCATACCAATTTTTCATTTGGTTTATTTACTATGTTACAAAAACCTCAAAGAAGTGGCCATAAAATGAGTTGCCAAAAATGTGTGAAGTGTTGGGCCTTCACACATTCATTCATATTCTGTTAAGGCGATTAATAATATAAGGGTTGGCCAGTTCTTTTCCACGCTACTTTTTCGTTTTCTTTCCCAAATATTTCCCACAGTATTATGTAAATAGCTGGTACCATTGTTAATGATTGCTCACGAGGCTGGTCTGTGATTCTTCTTCTTTATCCTTTGAGTGACATAAATATAAATCACCTAGATAAATGCCACGTCCTCTATATCACTGCTTAACCTCACTTCCGTATGTTGAGTTTCCCACTCATTCCCACTCCCACTTCTGGGATCCAGGAAACAGCCTGAAGGTTTGGGACTTCGATGACTGCACAGGCATGCGCAGTATTCTTCAGCATATTAGACACCTGTGGTTTTGTTGCATTTGGACACTTGGCACAGCAGTATAGGGTAAGCATCCATCAGGCATGGCTTTCTCATTTGGTCCTGACATGATGAGGGAGCCAGTGGTAGTGGACATTTCAGCCTTTCTGTCAAACAGTAGTTCCAAGTTTGATGTCAACACTTAGGGTAAAATCTTCCTCATTACGTTAGACACGCAGTTGCACTGAGACACATGGAGGAATAGCATACATCATAATTAGCTTTCACTTTTGTTCACAACACTCCAAGAAGTAGGGCCAATGGAGTGGACATCCGAACCTTGTCTATCACCCTGTAGGGCTTTTTTTAAATCATACTTCTGAACCTTGTCTGTCAGCCATCTAAAACTTTGCTGTTATGCCATAGGACTTTTGACACATGGCTTCACACATGTTCCAAATGAACTTTCAATGAACACTATTGCCGATGGAAGGGGGGGGGGGGGCTGATTGTTATAGCCAGATGCTTTCTGGACACTGCTTCCTGGGGCCACCTTCTCTGTGATCCTTTGCCAGCTCAGCTTAGCCCAATATAAGCCCTTATCTATAGCTCGCAAAACAGACGTGTGGCAGGAGTCTTGCATAAGGATCCGTAAAACCAGCACAGAGCCTGCCGGTGCCCTAGGTGAGGGACAAAGTATCTCCATATACATAACACAGGGGTATTAACTTTCTGTAATACCTGTGGTCGCTTTCACTGTGCTGGAATCTATAAATCTACTTTAGCCAATACTAATAAATATGCTATCATTTTGCTAGAATTCTTTATTTAAAATAACATCCTGGATAATAATAGTAAAATAATATCAGACTTTTTGTTGTGGTCGGGGATATAAAATGGTGCCTGCATGGTTTTCAAGAAACTCTTAATGTACATTAATTTTTTGAACCTGTATTCAATTTTTGAGTTTATCTTTTTATTGCAGTGATTTGTACCAGGATGGCATCTGTGGACAAGGAGGAGAGTGAAAGACCAAACGATCAATCTGCAAATGCAAATACTTCTGATGATTGTCTTTTAAGGGATAATTATGTTCAAAGACAGGAGGAGTTTTTTGACAATCACATAGATTATAGCAGCCAAAGAACATGTTGTGTAGAGAGAAACGAAGTACACTTCTCAGAGCCAGCAAGTAATTTAGACACTGTGAAAGCAGACTTGAATGAGCCAGTAATCAACAGCGGTAGTGAGTGTAGGAATTCTTCATCTGATTCACAGCCTAGACTGACTTCGAAAGCTTCTGTCCAACTTAATGAAGACAGTGGCATTGAGAGAGTTGGTGACCTGAGATTAAAAAATAATGACGATAATAGTGACGATGAGTATCAGTCTGCTGATGAAGGTGATAAAGATTATGATAATTGTAAAGACAATGATCAAGGCAACGAAGACAGATTTTTGTTGCTAGAAAATAAAGATAATTATGCAGATGAAGAAGGTGATGATTCGGTGTCTGATGACAGTGTTACTACCAAGGAAGAGTCAGATGAACAAAAGGCAGAACAAGCTATCATAGATGACTTGGAAATTAGAAAAAGTATGGAGGAAAAATTAACAGAAGATGAGAAGAAGGTAAATGAACACTTTAACTGACTTTTGATTTTTAATTGAATCTGATCTTTTATTCTTTAGTGAATCTTTAAATTTATAAAGGAAAATTGTTTTAGATTTCTTTTCTTACAGAAAATGAAGGTCATGAAAATTACGGCTGGTAAGAGTATAAAGGTTTTACCCAAGTGGGTTCCAGGGCCCCATTGTGGGGAGGGGGGGAGAATAGACCCACTCACTGTTTCCCCAGCAAGCATGTTGTAAGAGTTGACTTATTAGGATCTTCCTTCGAAGTTGGGGTGCATCTGGCCGAGCGACAAGGAACAACCATCTGCACATAAATAAGCCAGTAAAACGGATGTACACACAAAACTCAGCACCTGGCACAGATCCAGAGTCTAGATGGACGAATAACTAGGGCTTTCTTTCGGAGCTTACAGCCAGTGAATAAAGAAGAAGAAGTATATAGGGTTTAAAATCAAGATGATTGACTTTATTGCACGAGGTTTTATTTCTTCTTCCTGTTCACCAGCTATAAACTCTGGCGGAAAGTTCCGGTTCTTCGTCCACTTCTGAACTGCAGTCCTGTTCCAGAACTTGAGTGTTGCATGTGCATTCGTTTGACAGATCTGACTTATTTGTATGCAGACTGTTGGTTCCTTGTCTCTCAGGCAGATGCACTCTGACTTTGATGGAAGCTCCCAATTAGTCTACTCTTACAGCATGCTTTTGGGGAGGCAATGGGTCTATTCTTGTTTTCCCTATAACATGGCCCTGGAACCCACGTGGGGAGGGTTTTATTTGATATGGCCTCTCTCTCTCTCTCTATCTCACACACACACACACACCGTCCCTCTTCCCATCCATCCTTCTCTTTCTCTCTCTTTCTTTCCCCGCCCCTTCCCCAAATATTCTCTGCAGAATGTCTAGCTGTTTTCTGATTGTTACAAAAAGCACGAACTCCATAGCTCCCTTGATGGTTCCCAGGGATCACTTTAAAGTTAAGATTGCACTCATGAACTAATCGGCACAGGGGAAAAAAGACCACCCCCTCCCCAAAACAAGCATATCATGAAAGTCAAGTAATTAGAGGTCTTTCCATCAAAGTTGGGTTGCTTCTGCTGGGGAGGTGAAGAACAAAAGGTCTGCTTACAAATAAGCCAGATCTGTAAAAACAGAAATGCACACAGAACTCGAGTTCTGGAACAAGACTGAAAACCAGAAGTGAATGCTAAGAAGAAGAAGAACTCCCAAATGGAGCAAATACCCTCAGTCCACATACATCGAAATTGGTTGGGTTTTGTAAGTAAAGTTTTCTGAGGGATGAGGTAGCTGGCCTCATTGCTATCAACATCCAGTATGTGTTCTGGGGCTCTGTTTAGGGGGAAAGGGGAGTTGACCCAATACATCTTAACAAGCATGCCATAAATGATGATTAATTAAGGGTTTGCTGAAATTAAACGTGTTGGGCAGAAAGACGCAGATATTGCATCCTAGTTGTAAACCACAACACATTGTGCCCTGTGCCCTTTTTTAAAACCAATACTGAAGAAGAAGCAGGAAGTATTGACTCCCTTTCATGGCCTTTTATGACATGCTTGGTAGTTTATAGCTTAACTGGTCTTTATTTTCTTTCTAGTTATTAGTTGTGCTCGCCATCGCCGTTGGCTTTGGTTCTCATGCATCCCTATAGCACAGCATAACACCTCCGCCTGGAAAGAGGGAAAGTGCCAACAACAGATATTCTTTGCTTACCTGAAGTTCATTGGTAGACCGTGGCAGAGTTCTTCATCTTCACGTTTACCGGCTGTTAACTCCAACAGAAAGTTCTGGTTGTTCAGCCACCTCTTGACTTTAGACTTGTTCCAAAACCTGAGTGTTGCATGCACATCTGTTTCTGACTTATTTTTATGCAGACTGTTGGTTTCTTGCCTCTCAGGCAGATGCATTCCGACTTTGAAGGAAACACCCCATCTAGTGGACTCTTACGACATGCTTGTTGGGGAGGCAATGGGTCTATTCTTATTTTCCCCACAATGGGGTCCCGGAACCTACAGTTATTTATCATTATTTATAGAATAATTTTTTTTTGTTTAGTCACAGAACCCTTTTTTTTTCACAGGAAAGAAAAGAAAGAGGCCAGAAGTTGAAGGATGAGGGAAATGATAAGTTTCGCGGGGGTAACTATGATGAAGCCATTATTGCATACACAGAAGCATTGGATATATGCCCTCTAAGTTTTCACAAAGAGAGATCAATCATGTTTGCTAATAGAGCGGCATGTAAGATGAAAAAAGTAAGTAAGTTGTTGTCTTTCCTGGTTTTGTGTTATATCTTTCCTGCTATTGTGCTGTGGGAAGTACAGGCCCCTTTTCCATATCCTGGGGCATATTGGGTTAGACATTTTTTAAAATTAATATTGACTAAGTGGGGTCTTGATGGGTGATGTATCAGTTTCATGCCAGCCACTTTTCTTTCAGGATTTCTCTGGTACCAGTTTTAGGTTGAATCAACCTAGTATTGCAGGCATTGATGAAGATTTGAACACATGAGCATCGGAGAGCAGCAAGTGTGCTAGCTACTACACAGTTGCGACTGCTATGTTGATTTGGGGGGGGGGGGGGTTAAATGACTATATAGTAGTACCTCGGAATTCAAACATAATCATTACCAAGACAGTGTTTGATTTCCAAATCATTCGAGTTCCAAGGCAATTTATCCCCGTTGAAAATAATTAAAACTAAATTAATCTGTTCCGGGGTCAAACACACCCAAATTTAAAATTTCATTTTTATTAATACACTACACTGTAAATATAGTAACACATGATGATCACATCGTTGAATCATCATCATCATGTAGCAGGTCCTTTGCAGAACGTCGTTCTCATCACAGTCTGCTTGAAAGAAACTCTGTCTCTCGCCAGTTCTCCCACCTCATGTACTTTCATACTCAAGGAGTCACTTATATCCTGTGCCCATCTTCGTGTCGGCCCCTGCCCTTCCTTCCTGGTACTATGCATTTTGCTATAATTTTTTCCAATCCGTCATGGCGCTTGATGTGACCATAATATTTCAGCTTCCGAGAAAGGATGCTGTTTATTAGCCAATCTTCCTTATGCTCAGATCTTTTAAAATGTCAATATTTCTCCTCTTCATTGTGCAAGATATTCTGAGAATCTTTCTATAACATTTCAACATCGTTGAATACAAACACAAATAAATAAACAATTAAAAAGATTTAAGATGTATATTTACTTAAATGGTTGGGACATTTTGAAAGAATGTCTGATGACAGAGAAGTAAAAACTGTATACACCAGGGAGATAAATGGTCATAGACCACGAGGCAGACCAAGAAGATGATGGAGAGATAATATCCTGATAGATCTGCAAACACTTGGTGTCACCAACTGGAAAGAGAGGACCAACCAGAGAGATGAATGGAGGCGGGTGATATCTGCAGCAATGAACCTCAAGGGCTCGGAATGCTGAAGAAGAAGGAGAGGATATTTACTGTACATTGATTGAAATTGTGACATTATTTACAAGATTAAATCTTCATAACATATTTTTTTTTTCTAAACAGGAACTATATGAGGGAGCTATTCAGGACAGTACAAGTGCATTAGATCTTCATCCACATTATTTGAAAGCACTCCTCCGCAGAGCAGAATTGTATGAGAAAACAGAAAAACTTGATGAAGCTCTCAAAGATTATCAGAAAGTTGTAGAGCTTGATCCTTCTCAGGGCATGGCCAGAGCAGCGTGTGTGGTCAGTAAATATGTTCTATTTTCTAGTAGTCTATTGTTATTTAAGGGGAGTTGGCTTCAGATTTTGTGCTATGATTAAATTGATCGGCAAAACTTCAAATGTCTACCCTAACGGACGCATTCTATAGTGTAAGTTAATAATTATATTGTAAGTAAATAATTCTGTTGTAAGTTAGTAATACTTCAAGTGCCGACCCTTGGGGATGTAATCCATTATTTGTGTAAGCTCACATAATAATATTCTTTAATATTGTTTGAGGTTAGGGTTAAAGTTGGGCTAACACTAACCAACACCTTAATCCTAACCTGAAACAATATTAAATATTACAGAACATTGCTATGTAACCGTACACAAACACTGGGTTGTGTCCCTTAGGGTCGTCGTTTGAAGTATTGCGAATTGATCTTTGCTACATTTATTTTCAAAGCAACTTTTTCCTATTGGAAATTTGAACAAAGAAGGCTCAAACAAGAAATTGCCTGGCATATTTCACTGTATCTTGTCTGGTGCATATCACAGTAACAATTGAATTAAGTGAATCAAACAAATTAATCCTTGTCCAAACAAAAGAACATGGTTGTGAACCTGCACCTGCCCTGGTAAAACGAGCAGTTACTTTAGATGGCTGCTGATTTTTTTATATTTTATTTGTAAAGGATTCATTTATTTGCTTTATTTTGTTAAGTTCTCACTGTAGTATGCACCTGACAAAATACATAGAAATATGCCAGGCAATAAAATGTGTAATGTATTTATTTTGTTTACTGTGTTGAGGAATTCCTCATTTCATATGCGGGGGGTGACTGGTGTACTTATGGATGTATTAATTGTATTGTGGCGGCAACTCTTTACAATCAAGTCCTGGTTTCAATATTTTTTGCAGTGCCAGTTTTTATAGCAGCTTAATGTTAAAAAGTATTTTTCAGATATATTCCCTTTGGTGGAAAATAAATGCTGGAAAACTCAGTGTGTAAAACATAATAACTATGTCTCTATTTCTGTGACAGAAATTAGCAGAACAAATAAAGGACAGAAATGAGAAAATGAAGGAGGAAATGATAGGTAAGAGAATTATGTGTGATATTTATTATTTCCAGACAGACCATAATGACAAATTGTATTAGTTAATGTAATCCCACTGAGGTAGGTGAGGAGCTGATATCATGTTCATTGAAATAAGTCAGCTTTTGGATTTGCTTATTTTTTTTCCAGTCTTTTCTAAAGTTTAAAATGTTTATGTTTTTAAACATACATTTTTTTATAAACAAAAGAAAATCATTTTAAGTTATTTATTCAGTGGGCCGTGTTAGCGCAGTCGATAAGAGGCTCACTTTCAAATCCAGGTGAGACTCGCTGTAGCCACGGTCGGTGTTCGAAACTGGTGGTTTTGGGGTTCACCCAGCCTCTAGGAAATTGGTACCAGAGTGACACTCTGGGGTAAATGGAGGAATGTCGCAGTAGCTACAGAGTTACGTGCGGACACAGGCGGACAGTTTGTTATCAGCTGACTGTACTGGTGGCAGGGCACTTATGGTTTAAAACCGTGTGCAGTGACGCTGGTTCACATCTCCCGACTTTACCTTTCCCTTTCCCTTTTTTTTATTAGTAAAAAAAAAAATAGCAAAAATCTTTTTTTTTCACATAACAACTGATACAATTTATAATTGTCCTTGCTCAAGCAGTTGAAAATATAAATTTTAAGAATTCTTCTCAATTTAAAACAAACAATGATGGCACAAAGAAAAGTCACAAACAACTTCAAAATTCTCAGCTGACTTCACAGCTGTGATTCAGTTGTCTCAGGTTTAAGACAAAAGAGAAAAGAACCAGCAAATATAAGAGCAGCAATTTATGGGCTATTTCAGGAGTCTTAACGTGGTTGTAATACATCATCAAGTGCCTTGCCAACTGGCAATCTGCTATTTTCAGCAGCATGTAGCATTTTGTGTGCTGACACCCCTCGGTGCTATTACAAACTGGATTTAATTTCCGTGGGCCTGAAATGTATGGGGTTACGCCTAGGCTACAGGCAAATTACGAGGTCTGAGTTTCTTTGAAAAAAGCCATTTTTCATCACTAAGAAACCCTTTCTAAATGCTATTTTTAGTCTATTTCTTCTTCTTCTTCTTAGTATTTACCAGCTGTAAACGCCGGTTGAAATTTCTGATTGTTTATCCACTTCTGGACTTGAATCTTTTTCCACAATCTGAATTTTGCATGCACATCCATTTTACACATCTGGTTTACATGTATGCAGACTCTTGATTCCTCGCCTCTAAGGCAGATGCGCTCCAACTTTGACAGAAAAACCCCTAATTAGTCGCCTCTTACGACATACTTGTTAGGGAGGGAGGACAGTGGGTCTTTTATCCCCCTTCCCAAATGGGGCCTCGTGACTCAACAGGGAGCTGTTTTTGGTATAATAATATCCTGACCTCCTAAAAGCTGTTTAGGAGGAAACATAACTAGTGGTGTTAATTGAGCATTTTAGAAACATGCCACTGTCAGTATGCCATGCCAAGAGCATTTACAGGATTGAGCACTGATGGAAGTGCCAGTTTTGCATCTATTTGGGGTGAAAGAGTTAAGTGCAATAGAAAAACATTTTCATTAAGCAAGCTAAATGTATCCTTGTACCTATCACACATAGTTAATGCTATATGTAAAAAAAAAAAAAAATCCACTTTTAATTACAATAGAAAATAAATATTCCAGATTGTTTCGAGTAGATTACATTGAAAATCAACCATTTGAATTTGTGATTAAAGTTTGCTATGAGATTTGTTGACCTTTTCATTTATTAAAGTGTAGTAAGGACCCATTTCATGCCTTTCATCCCAAATGGCTTTTGTTAGCAGATAAATATCTTTTTTTTTTTTTCCAGATGTGTAAATCAATACTAATTATACAAGTTACTTTATGAAATTGTGGTAGCTCAGTGGTTAACATGCTTTCCTGCTGACCATGGATTTGAACATTTTTTTCGGCCACCAGGTCAACCCAGCCTAGAATGGGTACTTTATAATGTCCTGTTGAATGTTGGCTCAAGAATCGACATTGCAGCACTCTTGACATTCCCATAAGAGCTCCATCCCCCTCTCTCTAGCAGCAAGCGTGGAGTTTTGATTCTGATGGCACCAGTAACAGTCTAATTGTGAATCCATCTCACCTTTTCTTTGAGTTTTGAGTGTCAGCCAGATTTCCTGGTCACTCCTCGCAGCACAATTCTCCTCAAACCATGAGGATCTGTTTGTGCCTCAGCACCATTAACTCACCACCAAAGGGATCTAGCTTGTCACCACCAAGAGGTGCAGAACCAGCTATTCTATCTGCCTGTTCATTTCCCAACACACCGGCATACCCCTTAAGAAAATATCCAAAAGAGATTAACAACCCAGACCTCTGAAGCAAAATAATGCCCTGGGCAGTAAAAGCAGCTGGCCTGTAACTGAACACATCCACTACCAAACTTCGCTTGATTGAAAACGAAAATAGAAAACACATATACTATACACAGTAAAGCTTAGGACCTTTACATTGACCTTTACATTTTTTTCTTGTTACTTTAGCATTACATTCTAACTTGCACAGTGCGTCCTCCCCCCCCCCCCCTTTTTCCCCCCTTTTTTCTCCTCTTTTTTCCCCCCATAGCGCCAAGTGGTATGCAAATACAAGCAGTAAAAACAGTACTTTTGCATTTATATTATAAATATACAAAACATAATTGCAACATTTTTTTTCCAGGAAAACTGAAAGACCTGGGAAATCTTGTTCTGCGACCATTTGGTTTATCAGTCAACAACTTCAACTTGCAGAAGGATCCTACAACAGGCTCATATTCGGTGCAGTTCCAGCAGAACCCTCCCAACAATGGATCATGATGTGCACCCTTAGTGGGCTGCATAGAAAATTACATGTGTTGACTGCATAAATGTTTTAGAGAGAAGCAATGGGACTGCTTAACTTTAGAAAATTGTTAGTTTAAAAGATGCTGTTTGAATTATTTTAAGCACTTGTGCATTTGTGACAGTTCGTTAATTATCGACATTTAAAACGTTTAGGTAATTTTCAGTCGAGGAACATTCTTCTTCTTTGCTTACCCTTTCAAATGTGGTTGATACGTTGTGTTGTTTACAACTAGGTGGTGATATATATGCCTGCCAAACACGTCTGATTTCGGCAAACCCTTAATTCGCTGTCTTTTACAACATGCTTGTTAAAACGCAGTGGGCCTATTCTTTTCACTTCTTAAAAATGAGGTCAGAACCCACACAGGAGAATCAGGAGACATGACATTTGCTGCAATTTGAAATCTACCATAATTCCATATTTTATCATTATTTGCATAATTAAATGTTTTGTTCCATTTTCATTTCCTAATTTCTTTTGGATTTATTGATTTATTCCTATATTGTCAGTGTTTTAGAAAATTGTATTCACATTCCTAATAAAGCCAATGCAATTAATCACTGTAACTGAAAACATAATAGTTTAATTGTCATCCTTAAATAACAAATCAAAATGTTTAAAAGGGTTTAGTTAGGTACTTCAGTCAAATTTTTAAAATGCCCTCTACACCAATAAAACCAGCACATTTAGATAGCTGTAAACAATCTCTTTCCAATGGTACCTCATTTAGGCTTGTATGTCATTTCTGAGCTGAGATATGTAGGTTTTTGTGGAGATGAGATGTAAGAAACAGCCGCTAAAACTTGTGACCCAGAAACAAGAAGTGTTTGACTGCGCAACCTACTGCGCAGTTCTGTATCGGCTTTGTTGACATTAGACTGTCATTGGACAAGATGGCAGGCAGTGAGACTCAGCCGCATGCGATTGCCTAAAAAATGTCACTGTAAATCTAAACAGCGAAAGTCGGGAAAGAAATTTATTTATGCAAATGTAAAATTGGACGGAGAATTCAACTGTAACTAGCATTACCACAACTGGTAATGTTTAAGGCCTAAAGCCATCCTCGAATTTACCGCTATTTTCAATCAAACTGATGACTAACAGAAAAACAGAGGAGTCCGGCTGTCGTAGACATGCGCTGTTAATCGGGTTCCCCCACGCTGTTTCCAGCTATTTATAGCTGGTCCAAATTCCCACCAATCACGAATTTTCATGAGATTTGGACCCATCCGGAAACCAGCCGAGATTTCCCGAACAAGTTCTGAACGGTTTCCGGGTAACGGAAATTGCCGAAAAGATCGCAAATTGTCGAAACTGTAGTCCCTAGTTTAGTGCTTACAAAAGATCATTTGCTGACCTATGTGTATCTTCAGTGTATACAAATTATAGGTTTCATTTCAGTACAAAGCAACGTCTGTGTCTTTGTTTAATCAATCCTTGCTTGGGCTATTCCAGATTTATTACATCTTTTATCTGCTGTTGTCAGAACTTCTTTAATTCACCTTCTACCTGCTTTTGTTGTCTCAAACATATACAGTTCTCAAACACTTAACACTTATTGACTTACTTTACACAAGTCCCATTTACTTTGATTTTGCATTGGGGTAGATGTGTTTTCTTAGTATCTTCATCTTCTTATCGTTTACGGACTGTAAACTCCGACTGAAAGTTCTGGTTGTTTATCAACATCTGGATTTTGATCTTGTTCCAGAGTTTGAGTTCCTCGTGTGGGTTACGGGGCTCCATTGTAAGTAAAACAAGAATAGAATAGACTTACTGCCTCCCCAATAAGAATGTTGTAAGACTTGACTAATTTAGGGCCTCCTGTGGAAGTCAGATTACATCTGCCTGAGGGGCAAGGAACCAAGAGTCTGCATACAGATAAGCCAGGTCTGTGAAATGGATGTGCGCGCAACACTCAGGTTCTGGAACAAGACTGAAGGTGGACAAACTCCCAAAACTTCCAACCAAAGTTTACAGCCAGTGAATGAGAAGAAAAAGAAGAAGAGTTTTGCATCCACATCCGTTTTACAGATCTGTCTTATATACAGACTGTTGGTTCCTTGCCTTTCATGCAGATGCACTCTGACTTTGAAGGAAACACCTCTGATTAGTTGCCTTTTACAATATGCATGTTAGGGGACAGTGGGTCTACTATTTTCCCCTAAAATGAGGCCCCGGAACCAGCACAGGGATTTGTCTTAGTAATTACGATGACTTCTGTTTTTATGCTGTTTAGACTAAGAGCTTTGTCTTAATATTATGTTTTGTTTTGAAGGGCAGGTAGACCAACTATAAACATACATGACTGACTGACTGACTTTCTACCCCACCAGGACATCACACAAACGATAAACACCCGATGACACAATGTGCCAACATGTGGGTGAGGATCACCGTGGAGAGGTCCCAGAAACCGCGTTCAGCCTTTAGGGCATATTTATGGCCAGGCTATATAGCGGCCCCTGGCAAGAGCCAGAGTAGGGCTTCAAATAACGAAAAATGCCATCCTAAAATGGACGAGAAGAATTAAATACTGTAACCTACATGAACAGGGCATGATCATTAAATACGTTTTGTCTGTCTTGTAATGCAACTTTACATATAGGAATCAGCAATATCAACGTTAATATTTTAGTTAATAATTTATTAATTCTTCGGATAGTAACAATTTAATAAACAAACCTTGTTTGTGATCATAATTTTTTGTGTTAAAAGTTATTTGTAAACAGAGACGTTATTTTGTGCTCTATGAATCCAGGACACGCTCAACAAGAATGCTTCTTTTTCTTGTGATTGTCTTCTGATTTACACTTACAGATTAGTTCTTGTGTTTTTCCCCAGCAGTTCTCTTTTAGTTACATACAACTTTGAGTATGATATTGACCCATTTGGCCAGTAATCCCTTTTTGATGGATAGTACAGGGGACAGTCTTGCACACATGGGCATAATGATCAACTATTTAGAACTAGAAGAAGCCTGTGCATATGTTTAATGTGCCCTGTCCTGAGGCGTGGAATGATGACCTGTCCATGCTGATCAAGTAAGTGATAGGCTCAGCAAGTATAAAAGGCTAAAGGCAATTTCCCTGAGATAAATAATTGTTGGGTGTGAAGTTTGTAACTTTTATTACCCTTAGATTAAGGCATAACACAGTAGAGTAACGAGCTCCTTGTCGACACCCTATACTTTTAAAGGGAGTGATGTACCACTCATATCTTTAAGCTGGTAAGGCTCTTCGCCCCCCCCCCCCTCTCCAAGTTATGGCCATGAAGCTAAGTTATCCTATCCTTGGGGCTCTGGCATACAGCTCACCCCATGTCCTCCCCATCTCTTTTAATTTCAGTTTGGTTTATACAACGGATCAACATAACGGCACAAGATTAGAAACCCATAAGGGCTCTGTTTTTCTTCTAACTCAAGCTTGAGTCCAAAGAATCTCAGCCCAATGCACCAACTCTGTAGAACCGGCGAGGATTCTAAATTACTTTGGGGTAGATTTTTAACTCCAAATTTTGGCGGGCAGCGCCGTCAGGCTACTCTTTTCGATTTCCAACTGGCAAGAGATTTTTAAAGAAACACAGAAAGAAATTAAACAAAAACAAGGATCTCATCAAGATAGCAAATCTGAAACAGGAAGGAGTAAAAGAACAGTTACAACAGAAAGTAGAGACAGCATTCAAACAACTTCCACATGTAGTTGGCAATATTGAGGAAGAATGGAGTATATATAAAAACACTATGCTTAGTATTGTAGAAGAATTATGTGGAAAACGGAAGAGTGGAAACAGACGGGGAAATAACAAATATTCACCTTGGTGGTGCGAAGAAGTAAAAGAAGCAATTAAAAAGAAAAAAGATTTATATAAACAGTGGATAAAATCAAAGAAAGAAGAATATATAAACTATAGACTGCAAAGGAGAGAAACCAACAGGAGTGTCAAGAAAGCAAAACAATCATCCTGGGAACGTTTCGGTGAGTCACTAGCAGAAAATGAGAAAACAGCCAGCAGAAAATTTTTCAAAGTAGTTAAAAATGTTCGGAAAAGAGATGAGAGCTACAACCCCAGTGAAATAATTAATGATAAGACAAGAAGGCCATTGATAGATCCACCCGAGATAGCAGAAAGATGGAGGGAATACTTCAATGAGCTCTTTATTCCTCTAGGAGATCATCGGGAAAGAACAACTGAAGAGCAACAGTGTTAGAACCACACATACTGATGGATGAAATAGAAAAAGTCATTAAACAGTCTCCCAAATATAAAGCACCAGGAGCTTATAGATTACCAACAGAAATAATTCAAGCAGCAGGTGAAAGCAGCATCAGATGGTTTCACATAATATTTAATGCAGCATGGGTACAACAAACTGCCCCTATTGATTGGCAACATGCAATAGTTATACCATTGTGGAAGAACAAAGGAAGCAAACAAGAATGCGGTCAATATCGAGGCATCTCTCTTTTAAGCCATGTTAGCAAAATGTATGCCAAGATAATAGAAACAAGACTGAGACCAGTGATAGAACCGCAGCTGGCAGAAGAACAGATGGGATTTAGGAGAAATAGAAGCTGCACAGATGCAATCTTCACACTTAAACAGTTAATAGAAAAGAACATTGAATACAATAAGAACTTATTTGTGGCATTCGTAGACCCGGAGAAGGCATTTGACAGAGTCGACAGACAATTACTATGGAAAATAATGGCAAGATATGGAGTAAGCGAACACCTCATCGAAGTGTGCAAAAGTTTATACAGGGATTGTAGAAGTGTAGTTAGAATAAATCAGGGAACATCTCATCCTTTCACAGTGACATCTGGAGTAAGACAGGGGTGTGTCTTATCGCCACTGCTGTTTATCACCTATATCGACAGTGTATGCAAGAATGCCAAGCCCATGAATAAAGATCTTAGTAAGATCAACAAATTACTCTTTGCAGATGACCAGGCCTTGATAGCAGATACAG